AATATAGCTGTTATGCAAAAGTTGGGACCATATATTCAGCAATGCGCTGTTGCAACCGTTACTTTTATATTTTATGAACTATTTATCAAAAGATATCAGAATGTGTTGCACAGCCGACACTTCATTACCAAAAGAAGTGATCAGAAAATTCAGACTTACGGGAAGTGTTTTGTGTCTTCTGAATGTATTGTATGATCATCTGGAAATATCTGATTGAATTACATTAATGAATTACCTCTCATACGATAGTATGATGTAACTTGCTGCGGTATTACAACCATGATTACACAGTACACATACATGCAAAGATATACATCCTCCCACCCAGGGCATACTAGGTCTCAACCCTGTCAATCAACTGAAACCAAATCTCCACCCACTCACTTCCAATCATCGCTGCTCAGGACAAGATACATGCAAACTCTCCTTAATCCAGATACATACTGTCCAAGCGCACCGAACAATATTTCTGTCCCGGAAGTAATGGCTGATGCTTACGTTTTCAAAACCAATCAGTAGGAGACAAAAAAATGCAATTTGTAGTGTTAGAGGTCTGGACGCCTGGTTTTGGGCGACGGCCAGGTAGTGCAAATAATGGTTACATTAAGCTCACAACAGGCGGGGTTCCGACCACAATCAAGTACAGCAATACAGATAGAAGGCTTAACATGGTACGTATTGTAATGGCATTTTTTCCGGATGTGGCACGGGGTAATGAGGAGCTCAACGTAAATCAGAGCAAGTAGACTCTAGTCTGGCTAGAATGTATTGAAGTTAAGTATTGTAATAAGTCAAGAGTTTGCGAATGTTGGAAAAAACATGAAGATGGCCCACCACGTTTCAAAGTTTCACGTTTGATTGTTGTTCCGATACCAAAACATTTTTAAACTTTTCAAACTTCTCAACTCTACAGACGTGTTCCTTCCATGCTTACGTACAACACTGTCAAATCCGATGCCAAGCTTTGATTTTAGAACGCCATCTTTTATGCCATAAAGGTGCCCGGCCACGTTTAATTCTTGCTTCGATACCAAGGCATTTTCAAACTTAGCAAACTTCTTAACTCTACAGACGTGTTGCTTCCATGCTTATGTACAACAATGTCAAATCCGATGCACAGCTTTGATCTTAGAGCGTTGTCCTTCATGCCATGAAGCTACGTTTGATTGTTGTCTCGACACCATGACGACGTTCTTTTAAGAAAAACTTCACAAAATAAGCTTCTCAACTCTATAGTCCTGTCCCTTCCATGCTTACGTACAACAATGTCAAATCCGATTCATGCCCAGCGTTGATCTTAGACGGTTGTCCTTTATGCCGTGAAGATACGTTTGATTGTTGTCTCGACACCATGACGTTTTTAAACTTCACAAAGTTAACTTCTCAACTCTACAGTCGTGTTCCTTCCATGCTTACGTACAGCAATGTCAAATTCGATGCATGCCCAGCGCTGATCTTACAACGCTATCTCCTATGCCAAAGTCGGCGCGTGCTTTTTTATGTAGACAGTGATCTCTTTGAAAGCCCGTACAAAGGCAGAACAAAGACGCAGAAAGGCGATCCCCGAGGCCCTGTTGCGGCAGCTGCAGGAATCTCCCTCGGTTTCTGCGCCAGTAAAGCCCATCTTGGGTGATTTACTCAACTACAAGCAGGGGACATCAATACTAAGCTTTACAAGTGTCTTTCCGAAATCCCAACGTGCGTCATCAGCAGCGGCTGAGAGATGCGTCTCGGCTTTGCAAATGGCGATGAAGCGTTGTGTGAGGACCGGGATGTGGCAGTGGCATTACTTGTCGTACTGTTATGGCCCCGAACTTCTGCCCATTTCACAGCCATGCATAATGCAGATAAGCGTCTTGGAGAGGCGGCGGCGACAGGTGGAGAGGCGGCGGCCATCCGGTGATTTCTCCGCGAAGAGTGGAGAGGATCTCGCGGTTAGGGAAGGTGATGGATTGACATCGTCCCGTACTTACCAGACGGCTTCAGTCGCACTCGGACAAATCTTTTATCATCTGGCATGTAGCTAGCTGGCGTCTGACAGGAAACTCTGCGTACCAGGGAAACTCAGTTTTGTACCAGCGACCGCAACACTTGAATACAAATATGAGATAGCATGAAAGTTCATCTGTGTTGGTACAAATCATTATGAAATAAAGACTGAATTTTAACTTCCAACACTAGATATAGAATTGGGACTTACCCCAAATTTTCGGTTGACTCCATCAACCTTGTTCAGTTAAAGTTCAGTCTTTATTTCACAAATATGGGATATCTGTATCTGTATCAGATATACATTATTAAAAAGCAAAACTCAAGTCATTCATGCCTGAGCAGTCTACAACGTCCCTCATGGCAATACCGACTGATGCTACGTCGCGCTGCAGCAAGATGCCACAGCTGTGTCTTCTTGCATGCGTTAAGTTTTTAATCAACTGAAATACCTGTGAACTTTTACGCATACTTAAATTTCGGACTTCACATAGTGTGTGGAATATTAAATCGCATGTAAACTATCTTCTTGTAAATCTGCGGTTACACCAACCCCCCACTTCCTGTCAGTCTACTATTACTTATATTGAAATATATAAGATATATATACACAAAAACAGAAATATATGAACACACAAACAAATACATGGACAGGCCCTCCAGAAAGATACATATATACTTCCGTGTAACGAGGAAAAGTAAAAACTTTAAAAATTTGATGCTTACGGATGATTATATGAACTTGGGTGAACATATATCTTCATTACAATCTTGTGTAATCTCTATATCTGCTTGTTGCCTATTCATGCATTCCGAATGTCATTGACCCCCTACTCCCCACTAACCTCTGGAATTAATCCCGCGCCAGACCAGACGGGATGGCGATGTTATCATCCCGCTGCACCCGGAACACATCTCACTTATCTACAGTACATCAGTACAGGGGATGTGGGTCAGCACATTATGCCTCTCACTAAGAACTGAGCGTCTCTGTGGGTAGACCGTTCTAGCGTTCGGCAGAGAGTGATGCAGCAACTAAGAGTTACTCTCAAATATTGAAATTACCTTCGCGAAGAAAGTTATGCTTTAGGTTTAAGATATCTGTATCTGTATAGCCGGTATAACCGTCCTTCAGCGTAACACACCAGCTTCTGTATCTGTATAGCTGGTATAACCGCCCTTCGGCGTAACACGCCAGCTTCGCAGGCACGCGGCGCGGCGGCAGCTGGCTACATTACACCGATCGACTTGTTACGCCTAACCCTTGAACATCTAACTTTAAACATTGTTTAAAGCTATCTAATGACATAATTTAAGGTCATCTAAGCTAATAATATAAGGTGATATTTATGTGTGGTTGTTTTTGTTTGTTTGTTTGATTGATTTGCTTGTGAACAGCATAATTTGAGAAGCCGTGGATGGGTCTTTCGTATGTAGGTATAAAGTTCCCTTATAGACTGACTACATATCTTGAGATTTTTACATCTAGTAGTCTCCAGTTTCTTAATTTCCATATGCATATTCTTTTCCACCAACGGATGATTAATGGTTGCAAATTTCGCAATTACGAAGAAGACAATCCCGAGAGAGTTCCCGGTACCAAACTAATATCACCACTAATATTCATCCGTAAGCAGGTCTGTACCTCAGATGAGGGCGGGTGGATCATGCTGCGATTGTATCTGGAGACTCCACGTCTTGACTTAATCGCTCTATCAGTAATTCTTTAACCATGCGTCATGCGATACATTAAAACTTAAGTGTTTTGCAGCGCTGTACTAATACTAATAGCTCGTTATGTTTGTAAATAACCAATTATAACTTGACGGAATAGATCTACTTGAAACAGTCGAATGGCTTTAATGAGACTCCGTGAAACTGAAACTCCGTGATACTACAACAGAATTGAACTAAAACGCCGTGTATAAATCTATACTTTCCAACACAATGGGAAAATTATCAAGGAATGAACAACCACTTGCTACCGTGAGGTTACGTTATGCAAACAGCACACGTGACTCGTTGAGCAGTGTAGCAAACTTTGCAGAAAGTCTGCGGCGTCCCCCGTCACTGCTAAGCGATAGCTGTAATGCCATGATGTATATAGTTTCCTTCACCCTTGCTGCAAGTCTAATCCATTGACAAGGAGGATTTGAAAATCCTCTGTATTGATTACAGCATTATCTTACTTACGATGGGCTGTTTACTAGATCCATCATGGATAAGGTACAGTTGACAACACAATCCATCTCCCTGTCAGGAACTTTTAAGAATCGCTGGCGCCTTGTTGAAAGCATTCAGCCACGGATTTACGTTCAGCACTAAAAATACACCCAGTCAATGCCGCGGCATTCTCTTGTTCTACCTGCTACGCGCACAAGGTCACATGTAGCGGCTGTGTGTAGCCTGATACACCCACGCGCTGTGTGTTAACAGGCGCAGTCAACACCTTCTTTAGGTCTACCTTTGTACATGCTGTGCCATACATGTTTTGCCATTAGGCATTTGAAGGAGGCCAATAGCTCGGCAGGAACATGACTATACTTTGCCATCCAGCTTTTACCACACGTGTCTATAACAGTTGGGATTTTCTGAGGCTGGTGCTAAAAGCTCTCCCATTGATAATCACTTTGATATGGAAAAGTTGTCCAGGACCATTTTGCATTTTGCGTACGGTTACATGTTTGATATTTCATTCCTACAGAATTCAATGCCTCCTATCTGTCTGTGTGTGTGTGTGTGTTTGTATGTATGTTTATATGTATGTATGTATGTGTGTGTGACTGTGTGTGTGTGCGCGCGCGCGTACGTATGTGTGTGTGTGTGTGTGTGCGTGTATGTTTGTGTGTGTGTGTGTGTGTGTGTGTGTGTGTGTGTGTGTGTGTGTGTGTGTGTGTGTGTACAATTTCATTGGATGCATTTTATGAGTGGCATTTTATCGCTAACGATGAAACAATGTGCACAGTGACAGTGACTTAATAAACTGACCACCACTGTTTCACCTCCTGCAGCAAAACTTCATGACCCTTGCCCTCCGCCGTCTGCTGACGTCATGGGGTCCAGAAAAGTGGGAGGCCATCAGGTGAGCCGGTTTTCTCAAGCTCAGTTAAGTTTGCAATAGATTTGCTGAAAAATTAGACTTTGTTACTTCCGGATGGAAGTATTGTTTTGTGTGATGCTAATTTATGCTGGATTTGTATGTTTGGGTTCCGTAAGTTGGGGGCGGTTATTCTTGATTGACATTGTTTTGACCCGGTATGTCCTGGGACATTATAGCGGTGTAAGTTTCGTCATACAATCGTCACGTGTAAGAATGCGTTCTATGAGTTGATGTACTTCATCATCGCAAACGATTCCTTCCGGAAGTTTCTACTGTGATATTTTGTATTTTGATCGAAGAGCCTACGAAAGAACGTTTTGCTACATTAGGACATTAGAATACTCCTGGATCAAGTAATCCGTATGGATCTGAAAATCCATTAAGTTATAAATCGCGATGAGGGGGAACAAGCTCAGTAGCGTACGCATCCTTCCTCTCTTGACAACAACTTTAAAAGGGCTGAGCCAAAAGGCTAGTTGAGGATATCTGATGGAGAAGGCTCTAGGCGCACACACGTCCTTTTAACGGATGATAGGTTGCCAAGGCCGTGCAATAAATAACGTTATGTAACGACACGCGCAGTTACATAATAATAATGGTGTAATTACATAACGTTACAGTCGATTGAGAAGTATGAGAAACAGACGCTGAGAGAGGACTAGAGCATACTCAACGATTGCTCAAGATATCGATGTTTTAAATCATCTCTGATCAATTCTAGAAGCTTGAAGACAAGGGGAATTGAGAACTTCTTAGTCTTGTTGATATATGCATACTAACATGAACCAATCAACATCAGACTGAGAACCTGGCTGGAGGATGCGATTTCTGGTTTCCATAGCGACAAAGAATCCTGCGCTCCTATTGGTAGTTCTAGGAATGTGGATATGGTTCTCTCGAGTTAGAGCACAGGCGCTAGGCCACCGAGTTTTTGTTGAAAACTATGTTGTTTTGTAAACCATTAAAAACTATTTTCAACTTGATTGTTTTGCATATGTTATAACATACACTATGTACTCACTCAGTCCGTTGCAATCACAATACATAAGGAATGAACATGATCCGTTGAGTCATACATTCTGACAAACACCGTGAGCTCGGTCCGTTGAAAGATTCATGAGAATCATACACTCAACACAAACACCGTGAACTCGGTCCGTTGAAAGATTCCCGAGAATCATACACTCAACACACACTGTGAACTCGGTCTACAACCTGACGAGGATTCCAAAGAACCATACGAACATATACCGAAGATTGCCGAGAGCCGAACGGCGACTTCCGAACGCTTTAGCTTGGTTAGGTACTAAGTACTAGTATACACTAGGTGCGAAATGCAATTTCAAAACATCCTATTTTCTGCGAAATGCCACAAGGAAAATAAAAGTCTTGATACTATCTATACTTTAGGGGTAACTATGTAGCCATGTAAACTTTCTTGGGTTACTATACCATATTTTAAAGAAGATATAAAGCATTTTGTAAAGTCCGATTTCCGGCGAACTGCGTTACCAGCAGTAAGACAATGACATCACCGCTAGCCAATCAGACACACGGTAGGCACCCACATTTCCCGCGCGGTTCTAAAATGGAGACGCACAGAAAGGCTACATCATACGACATGCTATGTGTACATGTACTGCCAGGCTGCTCTAAACACGTCCACAAACCCCACCAACACATTTTCAGTTCTACATATGTCTCCCAGGCACGAGATTTGGAAAGTGTAGTTGTGCCCAATATCTCTAGATGTACGATATCGTTGTCCTCTGAGTCTGGGGAGGCAGGGACCGAACGTGATTCTAAGTCACATTTTTGCTGCCACCCCAGTTGGTAACGCAGTTCACGGGTAGGTGTTTCCTACCCTGTCATCTTTTTGAAGTTATCATCGCTAGCGCTAGCCCCGGCTTGGGGTTCTATCGAGTCGAGCAGCGGTTTTGCGAACGCGTTCGAATAACTGCGAAACCAGTTCTACTCCCGTCGGCCTTTGCGCCATCTATCTCTATCAGAACGCCGATTCGGAAGTAACAGCTAAGTAATGAGTGTGCTTTTTATTGTGTGATTCAGCCGACCAAGTACCCAGTATGTGTTATATATGTATGAGTATGGAGAATTCTCGGGAATCTTTCAACGGACTGTGTCCACGGTGTGTTGTGTTGAGTGTATGATTCTCGGGAATCTTTCAACGGACCGACCTCACGGTGTTATGTGTTCAGGGTATGATTCTCGGGGATCTTGTACGGAGTGCACTGCACAGTGAACTTGTTGTTCAGTTACCTAAGTATATATTTAAATAAAGTAACAACGATCTCAACAAAAACTCGGTGGCCTATCGCCCATGGTTAGAGTTAGTTCTCTCGAGTTCGAGTTAGTGAACGGCCACAAGATGCTACAGGAGAAGAGGCCCAATCGGCCCCTGACAGCGTGGATTGTGTAACACAGGCTAGTAGCTGTTCCTCTAACATTCTTCATGTTAGTCATCGCACGCGATGCACGTAACACCCAGGCCACGAGGATCACGTCTTCACCCCCTTGTCTATTCCGATAGGATGATCACCACAATCCCGGCGAGGAGCACTTCCGCTCAACATCAACAGGGCCTTTGATGTTCGCGGCCATGAATGTCTCACCCTGCTCAACAAAGCGTCCGGGACGTCCGAGCAAATGGACGGGGAGCCACTTAGCGCGTCGGGAATTTGTAGTTGATGTTTCATGATGATATATTTATATATATATACAGCTTTGAGAGGAGGTTAACGGTTTAATGGAGTCCTCGCCATGCAAGCAGGCGTGAAATGGTTGCATGGTTGGTGAGCCTTGGTGAAGTCGTCTGGCTGTGCTTTTATTAAGACGCATCTGAAAATCACGTGCACAAATCCACTGTAACATCTTTATAAAACATGTCTGAAAGTTTTATATAATACAGTAAGTGGCATGGAGGATTAAAGTGTAACTTCCAAACGCAAAGTAAAAAATCGCTTTGAAACTTTCTGCAACTTTTGTCGCCAATGTTTACCGAATTGTGTGTTGTATCTAAATAAAGTGACGTCCTAGAATCGTGGATTGCTCATTTCTTGAAGCTTTCCAGTGGGAAACTTGGATAGGTTTAATTTTTGTTTCGGAAAATCACAGTTCAATTCAGTTTATGTCACCAAAGTTAACTTGTTCATTGAGTCTTACTATATCCGCGCAGACCTAAAACACATCTCTCAAGCCTGAAATCTCCAATTTTCTTATTGCAACAGGTTTGCAGAAAATCATGACGTAGCCTTCAGCTGTCCACTTAGTAGTCGTTATATTTCATGTCCAGCAGCCAAATGGCTTCGCAATATAAAGTTAATGTACTCGCGTTTACGACTTTTAGAGCTCTGCCGAAAGCCGTTACCATCAGTTATGCCTACTTGACGGCAGTACAGTCAAACTGCCATACCTCGTGAAATATAGGACGCTGCTAGAACTACAAAACTACTATTCTACAAAAGTAGGTATTGCTATTCGCCCCGTCTGGTTGAAATTCCGTGGAGCCATCGGTCCGGGTTCGCGGCCCGGTTCTGGACACGGCTAGGAAAGAGTCGCATCGTCATTTCGGATGGGGCCGTAAACCTGGCGGTCCCGTGTATGAGGGGGCTTATGGCCTAAAGCCTCTGCACGTAAAAGTTAGGGGTGACCCGATGTGCATGGCTAAATATGCGACCCATAGCGAATCTGCATTGCACTACTAGCTTTGTAAGCTTGAAAAGGCATTTGAAAATGCTTCACTTCAGTTAAGGACGACAAAAAGAAGAAGAAAAGAAGTACAATTTTGTATAGGACGACTTAGCCACCTTGAATGTAGTGCTAGTATTTTCGTATGAACGATTTATCATTCGCTGAATGTGCATGCGATTCAAGATGCCTGCAAATGAAGTTTTGAGACTGAAATTGACTAATATTGAATAATCTGTCTGTGTGTGTGTGTGTGTGTGTGTGTGTGTGTGTGTGTGTGTGTGTGTGTGTGTGTGTTTGTGTTTCCGCACATTTGTAGTCAGCATAACTTCATAGCGCCTTTATGGATTGTGATGATATTTGGTACGTTGGTAAGTCTTAGGAAGACAAAGGTCAAGGTCAAATATGGGCCTCCTGGTGAATGACCTTGGTACTGCAGCAGAATATCCGGTTCTTGTATCTTTTTTCCTAAACATGCTATATATGGTCTTCACTTTTTGGTGACAGATAGCTTTTTTTTTGTCAGGAATAAGTGGTGTGAGTTTGGTACCCCAGCAGCTTGTTTAAAGTTGTTTTTGTTTCTTCTTCTTCGTTGCCCGCTGACATCTGAATTCTAAGATTGACGTTGGCGCAAAACAGCAATGCAACGTTTCCATCGTGTCATGCAGGCCTTTTGGGATCGATCAAGTCAGACTGTACTCTGAATATTATATTTTACACAATGAAGGGAATGCTACCCAGAAAGTGTACTAAGATGGAAGGTATTGAAAGACATTAAAGTAACCTGTTGGAAACTTGGATGCGAAGTAAAACTTTGGAAAATTGCGCGCCCCAGAATAGATATAATCACGTCAACAGGACATGTTATGTATAGTTCTATCTCATCTTCAAATTGCCGTAACGGTGCGTGGAATTCTCGGGCTATTGGGTACAATTCTTCATAAAGATTTCGCTCAGAGGGGATCGATTTTCTTGGTCTTTCTACCAGATTCCCATACGTTGTAGCCTAGACAGTGATCCCTTTCAAGCATTAGAAGCTAATTCATCATTGCTATAAGCTGGTGTCCTTAAATCATTACCTATTCGCAGAAGGAAAACATTGTCTTACTAAGTTTCTTCTTCAAACAAATAAGATCAATGACCTGAACCAGGCGGCTGTCACCATGGTAACTGGTGCTGTAGCAGACAGGTCCTATTGTGTTGCATTACATTATGTAGTAAGTTGGAGGGGCTGGTCACCATATATATATGAATGCGTTTTAGTAAGAATAAATAGCACAATGGTTTGTTGAGCTAGACCGTGCGAAGGTTAACATAATACATTTGCTTTGTTTGCAAATATTAATTGAGTTGTGTTTTGTCTTTTTAATTCAGCTCCAAGCTTGGCCTGCAAGATGATGACTGCTTCTATAACGGGCTGGAAGACACCAGCTGCACGAGATCCTCGGCTGCATACGACCCGCAGCTCATCCACAAGCTGGTCACCACTGCACCGGACATCATCGGTAAAGCAGTATCCTCTCTAATCTCCAAGCAGGTCTTTTGGTGGCTGCCAAGACACAATCAAATTGGCCAGGCCACCGGTGGCGAAATGGTTACTGTCTGGCTGATGGATATAGCCTGGCCAATTTGATTCTGTCTTTGCAGCCACCAGAAGTTCGACTTGGAGATTATATCCTTTCCAACCTTTTGGATCTGTGTTTGATCACAGTAATGCACTTTTTTAAAGATTTTTAGTAAAATCAAAATTTCCTTTTAGGAAAGCCTGAACATCTGACTGTCGTGAACTTTGTGTATGTATCAGAGATCACCCCTCGTGGTTTAAGAGAGGCGTCTTCAATTTGTCGCTTTATATGAGTGTGTTTTCTCTGAGATGTATTTTTTTCTTATCCAACAGGCGTGGATGCCCCTACTCTGATGAAGAACTTTGGGAGTGAATTCTTCCGCCTGTGCGACCAGGAGTACGGGTTCATCCTGCGCTCTCTGGGCGCCACTCTTCACGACTTCCTCAGCAACTTCGACTCGCTGCACGAACAGTTCAAAACCCATCCCATCTACTGCAACAGGACGCCGCCATCTTTGCGCTGCATCCCACGTGACGACGGCAGCCTCGTTCTGAGCTACGCCTCTCCATCCGGGGACTTGGAGATGTTCTTGGCGGGACTTTTGCAAGAAGCGTCTCAGCAGATGTATAACGTATCGGTAACGGTGTCACTGACGCAGCCTTGGGACAAGAGCGCCCAGCTCTGCCTGTATAGCATAGAACCCAGAGAGCGAAAACGCTCGGTAGGAAAGACGTACCACAGGTCAACAGACGTGTCGTTGAAGCCAGCAGACTGTAAGATCTCCACCCAGTTGTTCTGCCACACCTTTCCGTTCCACTTCATTTTCGACAGAGAACTGAAGATACAACAACTCGGCATCGCTCTGCAGAGAAACCTACAACCGACGATCGGCCTGGCCGGACTCAGAGTCACCAACACTTTCGAGTTCATCAGACCTCTCATGTCTAAGGACGAAGTCACGTTCGAAGGAATGTTGGCTCGGACTAACCTATCTTTCGTCTTAAGAACTAACGTGAAGTCCAAGAAGGCAGACAGCCTTGTGGAGGTAAGACATTCAACTTCCTGTTCGTAACATCCTGTAATGTAATGTCCTGTGATACTTGTATATGCAGCAGGGATTGAAATGCCTTCTACTTCCGGGACGGAAATATTGTATTGAGCGGCGCTGGCTTATGAGGAATTTGCATGTGTTTTGCCTTAGCAGCGAGGATTGGGAGTTGACTTTTAGTTGATTAATTTACTTTAATGACACAAATGTATACAGGAATGGATGAACAAGTATCATACACGTTATTTCACGAACAAGTGGGTGAACTAATTTCAGAAAGTCACCTGAAAATTGTAGTCGAACGGGGTAATACCCATTACGCGGAATTAGCCTCCCCCTGGTGTGTTATCGTGTGTGTAATTGCCAGTGGTAATTTAGAACTTCCGGAAGGTCAACTTACCGATCGGTTCGCACGTCTTGCCGCTGGCCAGAACAAGACGACCATGTCAATCAAAAGTCTAATTTCACGGTATCGATTCCGTACGGCAAGGGGCCCGACCTGGAGGCTGGAGCTGGGCCAGGCTTATTTGAGTTTCCGGTTATCACGGTGCATTGGTTCCGTGAAATATCGCTGGAGCGTTCGTCAAACCAAAGGGAAGCACGTTTATAACGTAACGCCCCGTCAGAGGATTACGTTTTCTCCACTTTATTTAGTATAAGTTTATTGTGAATTCATACTCGAGGGCTAATTGCAAGTACATTGGAAATGATTAAACAGTAGTAAACAATAAAAAAAATAAAGTAAATTGAGAACCCTCGAGTGATGATATTTCTAATACAGTTATTGCTGGGTTTAATTTCTTCGCTGTATGCAGTGGAGTATGGAATGCCCGAGGATTTGCGAGATATATTTATAAACGAATAGGGAGCTATTGGTAGAAAAAGTTGCAGTTTTAAACGGTGGTCTTTCCAAAGTTGTTTGCAATTGTGACAAGTTCTGAGCGAACTTGCAATCCATACTTTTGCGTCTTTGTTGGATAATGTACGACCGGAAACTTTTCCCAAAGACAAACAACGTCTAAACTTTCTTCATCTCTGTGAGAGATTTTCCCACGCAGTTTGCTTCCCAGGCGAATTTTTGTCTCCCTGACTGAATTTACGAACAGAAACCCACACGTCGTAAATGATGTGGATAAACATTTAGGTTCCGCAATTCCAGCAGTCTGCAGTAATTGATAGGAACAGTAAACCTGCCTCCGGAGGCAGTCCTGTAAATGATACACCACTTCCGAGTTGGCAAACTTTACCACCAAGGCATTATATCAATTTGTACGGGTGGAAGAAAAATAGGCCCTACAATTTTGTGTGAGGAAAGAACTGGAGAAATCAGATCATCTTTGCTAGCAAAACAGAAATATCCGACTGTGGTCCAATTTCAAACAACTCTTGCATGAAGCTTGTTTGATTCTCTGCAAATTTAATACTGCAATGTAGCTGATGACATTTTTGATTCCCAGCTAAAAAGTTTTGAAACAAAGTTCTGACAACTGCGTGACACAGCCTGTTGCAAGTCTATCGTGAACTGGGTGTTCCCCAGGGCTGTAGTGTAAAAGCTCTATGCCGCCCGGCTCAACTAAGCAGCCAGCAGGAGTTTTAACAAGAGTTTTCTACAGCTCAGTACATAGCAACCGAATCCAGGATAGACTGGATACCAGGCTATGCGGCACACAACATACGGGTTAGATGATATGTGATTCACAACACCATGACACACCCTTGTATTCAATGCCTACATTTTCTTAGATAGCTAGTTTTCTTAGCAAGCAAATCTTCTAAGGACGCTAAGTTTTACTGGGTTTGCCTGTACCACTTGGTAGTTGATAAGCAAGTCGGATTACAAAAGAGAACTTCCCCACAAGTACATCCTTCTTTCGAAGCCAAATGCACAAGTTTGCTCAGTCATGAATTATACAGGTCTATTCTTAGTACACTGCTTGTAGTAATGTCGCCTGCGTATGTAATTGTTAACGCAGAAGTGAAATATGGTTGTTTGCCCTGTGTAATCTCTCACCAGGGCACGGAGCTGAAGGGTCAGATGCTGTACCTGAAGGAGACAGACTGCGTGCTGTTCCTGGGATCTCCCAGAGTCAACAAACTAGAGGAGATGATGGGGAGGGGCATATATATCTCCGACGTGCCGATCCACGACGCTACACGGGACCTGGTGCTGGTGGGAGAACAAGCTAAAGCACAGGTGAGACGGAAGTATTGTTTTGGGTGGTGGTTTGGGAGGGGTTTGTATGTGTCTTGCCAGGATGCCACACGGGACCTGGTGCTCGTG